GACTTCCTCCCACAGTCCACAGGCAGACAAAAGTCCAAAGTCCATCGGCATAAAAGTGACCTTAATAGATAAGCAAGCTGTCAAGATGTTCCCATGGTGCTGTCTTCCTGTAGTTGTTGAGGCAAGGGAGCAGTATGTGAACATTGAGGATCCCGCCAGGTTCGGTGGAATGAGTTATTGCAGATCAGGATCCCAGGACCTAACACCAGCATCAGAGAGAGAGCAGAGAGAACAATCACACAGTGTTTCTGCTGGTAACGGTTTTGCATGATGGCCTGCCTATGGGCAAAAATCTTGAAAAACGCAAAAAATAATAAAAAATAAAAATAAAATAAAAAAAAATAAATACAATAAATAACATCTCTTGGGTGGAGTAAGTGGGAGAGGCAAGAGAGTTGAACCATGACTAGTTATCATAGTTTATAAAAATGCAGTGTTGTGAGTAGGATACAGCCATTTCATACATGAGACTTCTATAACATGGACCTGCCGATGTGCAATCAACCCGCCTTTGTATGAGTCACAGTATTCCCTGTGGAATGAAAGGTTTGTTGCGGGGGCAAAGGTATAATATCCTAAAATCAGATATTATAAAAATCAGTCCTTGCCAGAGTTACCAGAATAAACTATTTCCTCGTCTCTTTTGCACGGAATACATATAATACATAATGAATTAGAGTTATTGGCCATTACTCACAGGACTTTTGTTGCATGTGCAGTGGCATGGTGAACGTGGTAGTCGTTGGCTCTCTTCAGTCCATACTTTACATGCCCCTCTTTCGTCTATGAGTGTTGTCAGTCTCTCTCTCACTCTCTGTCTGGGGAATACAGTAAGTTTAAACATCATTATAGAGCAAGAGCATATCAAGCATTTTAGAGTAAGTTCTAGTGGTCCACTTCTATTTTATAATCAAACCACACACTCCTATTAACAAAAAATGCCCACCAGTGTTCACTCTACAAGCAACTGTAAGTTGTGGAAAACTTGTTTGTGTGGAATTACTTACCATAAACGTCATGACTGAATGCAGAAACAGGTCCACGTTGAAGGAGGACAATGCTGAGTTACAATAATGTCACAACTCAATTTCAGGACCTTTGGAGATGTTTGGCTTGGCCTATTGGAAGGAAAACAATAGTTTGAGGTTTGAGACTGATGTATATCTGATCTGATGTATATATTTTAAAATATATTTTAAATAAGTTGCCAACTTACCAGCTCAGTTCTTTAACATTCCACTCCACCCCTCCATATAGTTGAATAACTGAACATTTTTGGTGTCTTTTTTAGGGAGAGATAGCAGGTCAACAGTATTCCACACAAATGGTATATATAATGTAAAAGTTGGGAACCTGAAGATTAATTCTTATTCATAAATATGTAATAAACATTGTCCAGTCACCAATTCAAGTTTAGAGTGTATAAAGCTTTAGCACATTATGATATATAAGTATACGATGGACATGACAAATGTAACCATTTTTGACCAGTTGAAAATGAATACAAAAGGTTCACTTCAAAATGCCTCATTAAGACACCAGACCTTGGGAAACACCAGAGAAATATTGTGATTTGGTATCAAAAACATTTGGATAAATCTATAAGAATTGTTTTTCGGCGACTGGATGGGGAGCACTTCTCTTATGTAAATTGCTTAGAAACTCCCTTATTGTCAACCATCCATCCTCTAAATGCTCTAGGTCTCTAGTTTGTGGTTGCATGTCATTCCCCCACCTTCCTGTCAATATTCAGCTGTCTCTCTCAAATCAAGGTTAAAAGCCCCAAAAATATCTTGAAAGAAAATGGCCATAGCTGTTTTTATAGCATCAAAATTTAGCTTAACCTTATTTAACTCCTTCCTGACAGCACCTATCATTTTTACAACCCAATTTACATTAAACCATACACACTTCTGTATTACAAAAAGCCTCAACAGCATATGACAGCTTTTTTTTTTTTTTTTACAAACTTTATTGACAAAACTACATATAACAGCTTGAGTAAGCTGCATTTTCCAGGCAAAGAAATGCTTGTCTCTGTTGAAGGGCAGCCCGCCCTGTCCACTCTGCCCAGCCCAGAAACACTCCAGAAAGGCATCACCGCAGCTGTCCATTTTAAAAAGTCAGACACGGCCAGAGCTACACATAACACAGACTCTATACTTGACTCAAACTGTTAACTGCATGGCTCTGAAGGAGTGACCCACATAAGCGTGATTTACATGGGACTACAGTATTTTCATAACACTTATTCTACTCAATAAACCTGAACAAACAATAGGCCACAAAAAAACATATTCTTCTTACATTTTGAAATATAGGAAAGTTTTTTCCACTTCTGTGAAGCTGTAAAGAGCAATGGTTTGAAATTTTACTAACTATAGAAATCACAAAACAATTACCTTAATGACTGTAAAAAAAATAAATGTCATCTAAGAAATTTCTGGAACTACCAAGTTCACCAGCACAAATCCACTGATCTCTCTCAGTGAAGCTAAACATGTACCTTTAGAAACCACCAGACATTTTCCAACGAGAAGTTTACACTGGCTTTCAATTTACCTTGTGGTACAATTTTAACAACAAAATATGTGCAGTATACCATAACATACTGTATACTTGAACATACATTAACCACTCATACCTTAACCACTTGTCCCTAAAGGGTTAATAGGGTATGTCTATGTCCATTCATGGTCTGCAAGGTCTGCAATCAGAGTGAGGACTCTAGGATTGACTGGGAGTACTTTCTTTTTTTTTATTCCACTCGACTTTGGTGCCTCTCTCAGGATTTATTGAGAAGAAACACCTTCATAAAAAAAACAAAAAACAAAATAAAAAATAAGTAACAATTAATGGGTGAAATCAAAGAACTTGTTCTAGCAAAAAAGAATCTGTACCTTTGGAGAAACTCTAGTGTTGATCGTAGTTCCACTGGGTAGTGTATGTTGAAGCAGTAGAAACTCCCAAACATCAGGCAGAGGGCAGAGGTGAAGGAAGTGATGTGGTCGTTGACAACCTTTTGGTCAATGCTCAACATGAATGTCTCAGCAGAAAAGCAACAGGGCCCTGAAAAGATTAACAACATAAAAAAACAAAACAAAGAAATAAATAAACTTCAGTTACAAGGACTTAAATGTCAGCCATTGACTAAAATACAATGGTGCTTATTACATTAAACATAGAACAAGTGGCATTAAAAAAAACAACCAAAAAAAACCCCAAAACATTTTAATAGTGTACTGATAACGGAGTTCATTTAAACCATGCTACTGCATTGAATTCTCCTATGGGCTGACCATGGTGCCAGGTGAAGTAATAGACAGTATCTCTATATGGGCTGCAACACAATATAGCCCTAGGTAAGCTAATAGTATAATTGGATGTCAGTATACCAGTAGATTTAGCTGCAGGGTTTGGTTAGACTTTTAGTTTTTGTTTACTTACCACACACATCTACAGATATCCATATTTGAACTGCTTAATGCGTCTGTTCAAAATAGTGTATGTGAACCATCTCTTTTTTTTAATAAAGTACCTCAGGTAAAGTGCAACATCATAAGAGAGGACACCCTCAAAGATGTCGTGACCAGGACACAGGGGCAAACCAGGCAGACAAACATCAAAGTGTTTCAAGGAATTAAATTCTGACCTGAACTTTACTCCATGAACATCCGCCACGTCTTCAGCTTGTAACTGATCCACTGCTTACTTGTAGCTTTCAGGGGTTCGCTCTTGTCCACAAGAAACTGGGTCATCCCCTGAAATTGAGTTCCAGAAACGAGACAGTATCTGCAGAAATATTCTGAAGAACTGAAATTTTCAGTAAAGCCACCAATGCAATGCGAGCCTAAGTTGTCTCCAGCAATGCAGTAGAGAGTCCCTTTAACAACAGATTCATCTGCCATTGCTATCCAATTCTCCTCCAGTAGTTTCAAGTCAGCCAGTAGCTCTGGAAAAAACCTTGGCATGGCCAAATTCTTTATAGTCCTTCTCTCTACACAGCAAAACCAGCTGCATGTGATCAACATTTGATCGAACATGTGGGAGCAAATTTAATAGTGAGAAGTACACAGCCAAAGGTTTGTGCTTCTTTTTTGCAGAACCCAAAGGGTTCACCATCTCAATGCATCCTGGCATAATATCATCTTAAGGCAACATGCATTTTTCTGAAAAAAGGTGTTTGATTTAAACACCTTACCATCATGGCAGTCACAGAGAACATCTGGTTTTGAAACAGCATTATCATAAGGAGCTGCTGACATGAGCCCTGATTGTAACATATTCTTCAGTGTGTTTAACACAGTACGAAGTACGCAAATCATTCTGTTCTGTTCTCATCTCTGCCTAGAAACACCTTTTTGGGCTCAACATATTTAAACATTTCTTTAAAACACTGTGCTCTAGAGAGTATGCTGTTCTCATTGGCCCTGTGTGGCAAGCTGAGAACAAGTCAGTCCTTCACTGTATCACAGATTTTTACAATCTCTTCATCTGATACTGACAAATCTTTCAGAAGCAAGTTTAATCTGTTCAGTGTATATGTGTGTCCCATCTCATGTATGTTTTGAATCTCTTCAACAA